CCCGCAGAAGAGATGCTCCAGGAGGGGGGGGCTGAAGGAGGGGAAGGGGGGGGCACCCATCTGCCTCCAAAACCTCTGCTGCCTGGTCCTCCCCAGCCTCTGCCCTGCAGGGATGCAGGAACCTGCCCCGTCAGGATGCTGAAGGCTGGACCAGAGGGTGACCGTGACCACGGTGAAGCTCTGGGCATCCCGGCGTGCAGGCAGGGAGGCATCCCAAATAACTCATTTATTTATTGGATTTTAAAGGCGGAAAGTGGGGCTCCCCCCCCCCCCCCCCCGCGGGGGGGCGCCGGGGGGGGGGGGGGGGGGGGGGGGTGGGGGGGGGGGGGGGGGCAAGGGGAAGGAAGGCTTGAGGGGGCAAATATCAGCTCCTCTGCCCCCCTTCCTCGTACATTGGAGGGTTGGCAAGGGCTGGGTTTGCCAGGGTTTTCTCCGGCTTTTCCAAGGGGGAGAGGGAAGGGGATGTTGGGGTTTATGGGTGAGGATGAGGAGGGAGAGGGGAAGGGGAAGGGGAAGAGGAGCCAAAGAGCAGTGGAGCAGCAGAGCCAGAGCAGAGAAGGGGGCACTGCGGGGGGCATTACAGGGGGTATTGCATGTGGGTGTCACATGGGGCATTGCATGGGGCATTTTATGGGGCACTAAAGGGCACTGAGGGGGGTATGAAAGGGCATTGCAAGAGATATTGCATGGGGCATGGGATGGGGCATAAAAGGGCATTGCAGGGGGCATAGAACAGGGCATTGCATGAGGCAGCACAGGGGGCATCATATGGGGGATTGTCTGGGACATTTTATGGGGCATCATGTGGAGCATTTTGTGGGGCATCACACAAGGCATTGTATGGGGCATCATATGGGGCATCCCATGGGGCACCGTATGGGGCACTGCATGGGGCATCACTCAGGGCACCACACGGGGCATTGCATGTGGCATTAAGAAGTTTTGCAGGGGACATTGTGCAGGGCATCTCAGGGGGCATCACAGGGCACCGCAGGGGGCATTGCAAAGGTCCAGGCTCTTCCATCCATGGGGGGATGCAGGGGGCTGCACCCCAGTCCCCACCAGCCCAGGGTGTCCCCTCTTGCCCCACCGCCCCGGGCTGGGGGTTTGGTGCCAATCTGCCCCTGGGCAGCTCCGACATCCCCTGCCCCAGGGGAAATGGGGTCTCCCAGGCAGCGCCTCTCCCCGTGAAACCCCACCAAGGGGAGGGGACGGGGGCAAAATTGGGAAAACAAAGTCAGGGCAACATCCAGCATCTCCCCCCACCCGCCCCCCCACCGCACACCCCGTCCCCCTCCTGCCTCCAGTGTCCCCCCCCCAAGGGGATGGGGATGGGGACAGCCAGGGGGACAGGGCTATTTTGGGGCAAGAAAGGTGGTTTTCCAACCACAAGAGGATAGGAAACCCGGAGCCCCCCCTCGGCTTCCCCACCTCCCGGGGCCGTGACCCAGCCTTTTCCCCAGACCAGCCTCTCTCCATCCTTCCTGCCGGGGAATTTATTGCTTGACCTTCCTGCCAGGGAAGGCCAGGACTCTCATTTCCAGCCCTGGGGGATCTGCCCGGCCGTTTCCTTCCTTTCCCCTGGCACGGAGGGCACCTCAATTTGCTGTTCCCCCCCACCACCATCCTACCCGCACCCCGGTCCCCACCATCCCTGGGATGCTGAGTGCCAGTAATCCATGAGGAGGAGGATGGTGGAGATGGCATCCCACCGTCCCACCCTCCCTGGCATCCCCCGATGCCAACGCCAGGCAGATGTTGGGTTGTCCCCTCTCCAGCCCCGTGGCCACAAACACCTCACGGATGCAGAACATCACGCTGGGGGTGACCCAGGAGCCTCATGGTTGTCATGATTGCATCAAACCACCCCGTTTTTTTCATCATCAATGTCAGGGTGGCATCAACCCCCCCTGGGCAAACCTCCCTCACCCCAGAGAACCAGCAGGGAGATGCAAAACCCCCTCCCCAAACCACGGTGCAGGGTCCTCAGCCCATGGCCATGACCCCACAAGTGTCTGAGAGACCCAAGGGGGGGTGTTGGGAGTCAGATGGACCCCCCAAAGCTGGGGAGATGGGTGCCAACGGGACGGGGACGGGGGGGGGAGGGCAGCTGGAAATTGCAAGGGCCGCTCCAGGCGATCGCTGGGGTCCCACCAGAGGAAGGAAATTCGGGAGAAGGATGAGTCGGGCAAGACCGTAGTGAATTAATCAGGGGGAAATAAAGACAAGCAGCATTGATTTTCTGGGGAGGAAAAAGACGGAGCTGCTGGGGGCTGGATTGGAGCCTGGGAGGGTTTGTGGATGCTGGGGGGGGTCCATCCCCTTTGCTGGGTGGCAGTTTTGGAGGCGGGGGGGG